ATGCATTTCATGGCATAGCATTTGGCCTGGATTGGCGACGGTTGTGCCTGTATTGGCGTTATTTGGAGTGTTGGCTCCTAGATGGGTTCGGGGTGTTGGCCCTGTCCTGAGTTTTGGAGTGTTGGCTCCTAGATGGGTTCGGGGTGTTGGCCCTGTCCCGAGTTTTGGAGTGTTGGCTCCTAGATGGGTTCGGGGTGTTGGCCCTGTTCCGAGTTGTGGAGAGTTGTCTCCCAAAATGGTACCACATGCATGTGCACAGTTGAGTCGCATTGTTGAGTCGCATAAAGTTGCATAATTACGCTAGTTGTATGTTAATGTTGTTTATGTGGGATATGGATTACTCGCAATTGTTGTCGATGATGTTTATGATTTCGGAACCTATAATGCTGTGATGAGTTTCCGGCATGTTTTCTATCATGCTTTATGTTATATTATTGATATCTCACCCTTTTCCGTTGTATGTTACCTCCTCTGGTGGTAATTTGCAGGTAGTCAGGAATAGAGCGTAGTTCCCGTTAAGGTGTCGTTGGTCGCTCTGATACGTAGCACTCTTGGGGGAATGGACGATTGTTGTTATTATTTTAGTCGATGTTATTGTTGATTGAACTTGTTATGATGTTTTTATTAAATTGGTCTAAGAGAACATGTTGTATACTTTATCGAACTTCCACCGGAAGTAATGACGAGTTGTTTTATGATTAAATGATTAAGTAATACATTGGTGATTGTTCATCTAATTTCGTGCTACGTATGATAATTGCAAGTTGTTGCATAATGATTGTTGTCTGGCAGGTTGAAGTGTAACATCTCTGATATGAGGGATTTTGCCCGTGTGACGACCGTGACAGGCTCATGACGACCGTCATGCAGTCAATGTTTGCGCTGCTGCGCTTTGTTTGCTATATGAATTGTTGTTTTTTTTTTTCTATTATCCGCAAGTTTAGATTTGGGGTGTTACAATAATTACATGTACGAACTTTGCATTTTGAAGTCTTATTTACATGACATATGTTGCTAAAATTTATAAAATTGATCTTATGTTCATAATTTAGATCGACTTTGTTATATGAGTCTTTTTAATTTTCTAATTAAAAGAAGATTCAAGTTGTGTCTTCCATTGGTAAACTTATCAAGTGTGTTATGCATATCCTCGGTTTATTTTTTAAAACATTGCATTATTCACACTTGATAGGTTTAACCAGATCTTCATGATAAGATGAAATGCATATTGAAATACTTTGTTTCTCTTTAAGACAATCTATTTCTTCCAATAAAAATTTTATTTTCTATTTCAAGAGAAAAACAACACTCTTAAAGATAGAGACAAGTTGTTTTATATGCTTGATTCTTTATCTAATTATTTACATATGCAAAAATAATTAATCATAAGTAAATAATGAAGTTACCTCATCATCTTCAAGATTCATCACGAAACAAATGTTCGCTCCTTCTTTATATCAAGGCTTCATGCCATTATCATCCCAAGTAATGTGTGCTTTCTTTGCTTTATTTTTTTAGGGTTTCTGAGTTTTCTTTGGTTCTGATTTTGGTTCTATTTTTAGCTCTAGTTCTTAGGGAAGTTCAGTTTTATATTCTCTTTTTTTCACATTGATTACAGTTTGGAACAAACAAATATCTTTTTTCATTCTTGTGTTGAAATTCTTGTTACTTATCATACTTTATGAATCTTTTGAACTTACAAACAAACAATGTCATATCTTCATTAGAATCTGAATATTTTTCTTCCTTGACTTTGAGAGTCAAACTTTTCTTCTTATTGTCACCTTCTTCATCATCATCTAGCCTCTTCAGCTTCATCTCGTTCTTTTGTAACTTTTTAAACAAATTAGCCAAATCCATAAAAGACAAGTCCCTAAATCCAAAAATCGTGGCGACTTTAGGTTGTTAATTATGGTTTAAGCATCTAAGAACTTTTGTCTAATACTGGATACATTAGAAATTCAAATATGGAATTGGACCGGATACATTTCTTTTTCAATATAATTCCTTTGAGTTGTAAAATAACATGTCTAATTGATACATAATCCATTAGAGAGAAATCTTTAGCACAACGAAAATATAATCCAATGGGTTTATAGTGTTAAGTAATCAGTTGTGAATCCAATCCAAACACCTACTTATCTAAAAAATAATAAAACAACATGAGATGAGATTATAATCTCAGTGGAATACTTGACTAAACCACTAAAATTTCACTACCCTTCTACCTAGGTCAAGGTACAGTTTCAAAATCCATCAAGGTAACACACATATCCCAAAATCGGCTTCTAGGATAATCACATATCCCATGCTCTAAGAGATGTAGCAGAATTAGATAATTCTTAAATAATACATTGCGCATTATGACTCACTCATCCTCTATATAATCCAAATATATTTCAACAACCATATAACCCCTGGGTAACTCACATGGGTCGTAACCCCTAGGGTCCCTCCCATAAGTATGGCCTCCAAATCATCTATTGTACTATCACTCATAGGATATAAACCATGCACATTCTCTATAATTGAGTATAGAGCAGAGAGTTCAACAATATCCTATAGCTCGCAAGCCATTGACTATACAAATTGGTACTTAATTATTAAGTGTGGCATACAGATTATTGACTATCCAACTATAACTCATGACACTCTAGTCCCCGAGCATGCCAAAGCATACCTCCAGATTTATACATTGTGGTTAGGATAAAACACATCAAATCAAGGCTAACTTCCTAACACACATTATAATATCAACAATATAATACTCCTGAATTTGATCTGGTTAAACGATAAGCACCATATCCACCAATTATAATATCGAAATAAATCACATATTCGTCTATTAGCTCGACCATGACAATTCACATTCCCTACGTTGAATCACTAATATAAGCACTATATCTTCCTGACGGCTATTGGGATAACTCACATGCCCTTACAATCAATAATGGGATAAGAACCATATCCACATGAGGACCATTATGATAAGCACCATATCCTCCCATGAATAATTTAATACCCATCAACTAAGAACCATTTTTATGGTTGTGTGCTTGATCCGTCGACAAAAATCTTCAAGCAAAAATGAGATTTACAAAGAGGATTGTGAGAGTAGAGTGCTTCATGACACAAGCAGCAGACACATAACTTCAACAATCTTGTCCTTTGATTCTAGCCGAGGTAATTAATCATACATATCATTATCAATTAATTGCAACCATTTTCTTAATTGGCCTAACAGATACCATATCATATATATACAAGTTTATGAGTTTCTAGCTACATGTGAGTAGGGAGATAGTCACAAGAATTTTTCTTTTACATTACAGTATAGAATACCATTAGTCATTAAATTCAGTAACCAATTTTTTATTTCAACAAGTTTTTGTAGTTGAAAGTAAATTATTTCCTACTACATTTAAAAAGGTTGAGGATTCTGAAACTAATAAATAATGGCTGGGACACTGATTAAAGGTGGGTGTCTTTATGGGGGAAATTTGAGCAGGACGCCAACCACACCTAAATTTAAAGGAGTGCAAGTTTTCACGTATAGGGAGCTAGAAGCTGCTATGGGTGGATTCAATGAAGCAAATATGATTGGTAATGAAGGAGTTAATGGTTTGATGTATAAAGGAGTCTTAACTGATGGAACTTTGGCAGCAATTAAGTTGTTGCACATTGAGGGTAAGCAAGCAGAGCGTGCCTTCAAAATAGAGGTCAGTGAGATATATTGTGTTTTCTGTATGCAATAATTTAATATTTCTTGTTTGTTACCTGCTCTCTCTTACACTAAATTAACACTAGCAAAAGGCCACAACAGTAATCAACTAAATGCCAAATTGACACTTTTTCCTCTCCTTGTCCCATTTTCTCTCATCTCTCTATCAACCCTTCAAAACCCTACACCGCTGATGCCGCCCCTCCCCCCACCCTCGTCTTCGTTTCTCCTTCCATTTTTCAATGTTGAACTCCGATGGGTATATGGAGATTCACGAAAGTACTGTTGTGTGCGAACATGTATTATGGCTATGAGCAGTTCACGAAGCACACTGCATATCTATTGAAGACACCAAAAACGCAAATGGTACGATGGATAAGGAAAGTAGATCTTATGACAGCTAGGGTTTTATATTCAAGGTGAGTGTTTGTATCCTTTGTATTTATAATTTTAAGGATTTTATGTGTTATTCATCATTTGCATGAGTTTGGTTACAAGGTATGTTGATATTTTTCGATTTCTTCGTGAGTTGTATTTAAATGAACAATCTTCTATTTCTAACAATAAATCTTGATGTAAACATTTGCATAAATGTGTTTGTTGTGATGTTGAGTTATAAGTAAAACAAGTTATCGTGTTTCTGCCGGTAAAAGATTTACTCAAATTTGAACGTAAAATTTGACAACAAATTTTACTCACTGCCGGTAAAAGATTGAGTTGCTCTATATAGCTATCGTGATGTTTTTCAATTGAATATTTTTTCTATGTGGATTTTGTAGTTAAATCACTTGTCTTTGTAGTGCGAATTCGGAGATATGTTAGCATCTGTTAGTCCAAATTCGGTAAAGATGGCACTGACTATTAAATGGAGGCCTCTCTATGATACACTGTTTAGCACACGTTTTACCAAATAAGTTGTACACTGATACTGTTGATGTTGCAGCCTTAATGGTTTAAACTTTATAGTTATTCTGTGTTGTTTATAGTTTGCAATGCATAGCTCTAGAATCTTTGATTTCTTAGCTATCATTGATAACTAAGGGAAAAAATCTTGATACTGAAACTTTGCAGAGGATGGAAGCTGCTTATGAAACTTTGCAGGTACTGATACTGAATTGAATATTGTTACAGCACATTCAGATTTACTATAATGACGCCGAAACTTGCTTCTTTTGTTGTTTAATAACAGGATGCTGCTGGATTAACCTAATTAAGTTCAACAGTGGAGGATGTATTTGCCAGTGGTCATCTCCCTCGTGCTGCTGAAACTCTGGCTAATATGAGGCATTGCTTGTCTGCTGTCGGGGAGGTACTAATTTTCCCCCTTTTGATTATCTATCAAGTGCATGAGTTTTGGTACATTTACTTTTTGTATATACTTTTGTTTTTGCTTTTGCATACGCACTCTACTCTATATTTAGGTTGCTGAATTTGCCAACATAAGAAAGCAGCTTGAAGTCTTGGAGGATAGGCTAGACACAACGGTCCAGCCTCGTCTTACCGATGCATTATCCAATTGCAAGGTTACAGATACTTTGGAAACCATACTCTTACATCCTATGATTTGAATTGATACCCTTTCTTAGCTGTTATTATTGTTGTTGTTTAGGTTGATGCTGCTCAAGATTTGCGTGGAGTTTTCGTTAGAATAGGAAGGTTTAAGTCGTTGGAATCTCAATATTCAAAGGTACATCTGAAACCAATTAAACAACTTTGGGAAGACTTTGAATCAAGAGAGCAGGCTAATAAGTCTGCAAATGAGAAGAATGAAATGGAGAGAACGTCGAGTGTTAGGAATTTTCAGTTTGTTTCACCTACAATATCGTTCTCCAATTGGTTACCAAGCTTTTATGATGAGCTACTACTTTATCTTGAACAAAAATGGAAGTGGTATCATTACTGATGTTTTTTTACTGTTGAATAAATGATTGATTTAAAGCATTACCAATTCCATGTTATCATTCGCTGCTTAAGTTTCATGTTTCTTATTACATCCAAAAGTGGTTTGACTCATAAATAGTTATGCACCCAAAACTTGGTGCTGGTGGTTTTTTAATTTTCCATGTCAACTTACTGGAAAAACATTAGCTAGCACAAAATAATATTAAATAAATTTGCATATTTCAAATAATGCAATAAAAACATTTGAGTTGTTGCTTTTCAGGTGTATGGTTGGTTTTGATTAATTATTTATTTTTTTGTTGTTAAGTTTTAATATCTAAAATATTTTGTACTAAAGGATCGGTTAAAAGGAAGATAAAAAACCAAACTTAAAGACTTTGTATTCTTTTTGCAGAAACACCTCCTTGACAAATGGATCATCTCCATCCTTTACTTTTGGAGTCATGGCAGCATCAGACTCAGAGATGACATATGGATAATTGTGAAGCTAGAGCCATGGTGAGAAGACAATGTTTATAATTATGCTCCATATTGCGTTCGTATTGTTTCTTTTGGGCCGCTCTGCATTTTTTTCTTTATTCCTCTAACTATATATCTTTTTCTGTCTTTAGAGTGGAAATATGGTTAATCATTTTTTATTTTAAATCAATGAAAATGAGTTAAATGCATTGGCAGTTTGTTATATGGTTTCAAACTGAGGTTGGAGTAAAATTAGCGAAACTAGGATAGCATTGCGGTTTTCGTAGGAGATTCATTAAAAGCTGTTATGCTATAGTGCTGCTATTAAAAAACATTAATGGTAACTTTTCTTCTTCTTTTTTCCCGCTATTGTGGCTATATCAGCTAGCATAAATTAGAATACCGGATGCTATTTCCCTGTAGAAAAACTAGAATAGTGGTGTGGTTTACGTAGAAGATTCATCAAAATCCGCTATGCTATTTGACAACACTATTAAAGGTAACTTAAAACTTAAAATATTTAAAAACCTAAAATTCTCTTTATTTTTTCCCCACTTTTGTTGCTATATCAGATAGCAGAAACAGTTCACTTCGTGAGGGAATGTGAAGCATACAGTTCACAATTAAATTAATACAGACATGATAAAAGTCTTTGACATCATAAATAATAGTACCTGATAAGTGAGTGTAGTACAATAAATCATTAGCTTCAAGACATGACACTCTTTGACATAACAAGTATACCTGTTAATAAGTGAGTGCAGTACAATAAATCATTAGCTTCAAGACCTTCAATTAGTTCCCAGAGTTGTTGTCCATTTGAAACCTGGCCCTTGAATGATGGATACCCTGCACAATCCTCAAATCCATCATACAAAAATTCCACTCTCATTTAAAAAGAGGAAACCTTTCCAGATAACCTTGCACAACATGTATAAGGTCCGAGATTCCAAATTTTGGAAGATGAAGAAACAAAAGAGGTGTGCATGTGATTGAGAACAAGGTAGAGGGTTTAAATTCCAACTACCAACATACTCCACTAACAATCTACCTAAGCACTGGCCACTTCATATCGTTGGTGTCTCCACTATCGGAGACAGACACGTGGTTACATTTAATTACTTTCATTTTCTTCAATTATTAGTGGTGCATGTGTTTACATATGCGCCAATATCCGATGTCCATGTTTGTATGCTTCATAGCTAACAACAACCTCTATAGCATCGACACCTCTGGAAAAAATATACCGACACTTCTAATTATATTTAATTTATTCATTTTTTCAAATATTATCAGTGTCAATGTCGTGTTCAGGGAGTCCGTGCTTCATAGCTAACAACTAGCATTTGTCTATAAAAAAACTTACCTGTGTGATTGGAAAACTGCACAGAATGAATTGGATCCACATCAAAGCCCAAAGGTCGTAGAGGAAAAATAACTAATTTATTTTAAACATAACCCTTAGAGAGTAACAGCAAATAAATCCAAAATGTCACCACCATACATACTAAACCAACTTAACCATAACATTTAGAATTCACTCTACAATACAGAACAAACAATAACCTACTTTCGAATATAACCTGAAAACGTGAATTCTAGCCTATAGAATCAATCAGAATAATTCACATACTCAAAAAGATATACAATACTGAATTGAAATTAAAAAGAAAAACTTGAACAGTATGAGATTGAATACTGAGTACACGACCGGTTTCAGAAGGAATACTGAATACTGAGTACAATCAGAATAATTTTTTTTACATTTGCCATTTGATGTTGTTGAGAATATTGCTACAACTACAACATCAATATTGGTTTGATTCTAAGTGAAACTACTAATTTTACAGTCATATTGCAAAGTAACTGAAGTCTTTATTATTCTTTATGGCTTATCTTAAAGGTATGGCATGTTTAAGCATAAATTATATATAGCAATGAAATGACCTTGCTTTACAGAGTATTTTGTTTTAGTTATAAAAGATTGAATGGTAAGAACTGGATGCCGCTTGGGTTATATAGTTGTAGTCGGGAGCAAAATTATAATGAAATAGAATTTCAGGGCCTGACTTTAATTGGTATGGTTTAAACATGTCCATATATGAAATTTGCACATCCTATGAAGTTTTTTTTCCTGTCCATATATGAAGTTTGTATACCTGCAAGTCTATTTTTTTTGCAAGTTGTTCTCTGTCATGGTTCTCATATGTAACTGATATGATGTTTGTGTTCATATTACATAAACTCATGATCTGTAAATCCTACTACACTATTTTTTTCCTCTATTTTTGTTTTCCATATTCATGGTTTTCCTTTGCCATATACACTATGCATTATTTCTGTACTTTATGACTTCACAGTTTACTTGCACAGCCTTAATGTCTTTTGCATTTAGATGATGCAACAGGTTAGCAGCTACCCAATCAACCATTCTCAGTCTCATTCTCATTCTCTCACCCAAACATCGGATTCATTTGTACAATCTAACACAAAATGGACACAACTAAATAAGGTCAAGAGTATCCGCCAAATTTGTGAACTCAACAAAGTTTGTTGTATTCTTTAGCATGACTTAAGTTATTGTCTTAATCATATATTTGTTGAAAGTATAAGTTACTGTCATAATCATCTATTATTCAATCTATTTTGTAACTCATATGGTACCATCAAACTTCAAAAGCATCATTATCGGTCATGGACACTGATGTTGGAGTCGACCTTCAAAATGAATCTATTGTATGTCTAACTCATTACTCATATGTCTTTAACAGTACTATATATGAGTATGCTTATTATAACTCATTATGTAGTTACAAATTACTTGTGTCATTTGTAGCCAAGCAATTCAGTTGATCAAAGCTTTTCTGTAGTACCACCCACTTCTGCCAAGAGTGATTGCAGCCCGTTAACATGCTCTGGCAACACCCCTGCTAAGAGGGTTGTTGTCCCAACCACTCTAGATGACATTTTGCAAGATGAAGTCTTGACTCCACGACAATCTGCAACGAAGGTTAAGCACATTAAGAAGGAGTGATCATCTTATGCGGACCTCCATTTTTTATGCTTTTTAATGTTTTGTTGACTTCATTAATGTAATGTTAAGTACATCAACAACTTAGTATATCTACTGGTGTATTAGATATGTCTCTATCTATTTGTGTGTTATTGAGAAACTACCTACTTCATGTTTAAAAGCAGTGTTATATTAACCTTTTGGTTTCAGATCTTTGTGAATATAACAGACAATATGCTCTTCTTACTTTTATTAGTCACAATTCCATTTGCGAAAAGATTTAGATCATCTCATGCCCTTTCCCTTTGGCTACTGACTCAGAATTTTTTCCTATGCCAAATCTGTTGTGGACAGTGATAACCCGCCCACAATGTTGTAGGCCACATCTGGTAGTTAAATGAGAAAACCCCGTGGCACAACATTGTAGGCCACATCTGGTAGATTAAACGGTTTCAATTATGAGTGAATGATGAAGTTTGTTGAGTTTCATGTGAATGGGTGTTGAAATTTTTGTCCTGCATATATTAGTTCATAGGATTGGTGCATGTTTGGTTAATTTGTAGCACAATATCTTGCCAGAATCATGGTAAATCACTGCAATTAAGGCAATTCCACCTTAATGCCAAAACATGTACTATATGACAAATCCACCGAAACCAAACTCTTAGGCAGTGATGTACAGTCAAGAAACAGGTGAGAGTTGTAATTGGAGTATCTTTTGCATGATAAAATAAGAAAATGATGAATCATTAAAATATGGGATATATTTTCTCCACTTTCTTTATAAATTATACGTCTTTTAGCATGACACAATGATATTATAAACATAATAATACAATGATCTCTACATTTTATTAAGTAGATCATGCAATTGCAATGTTGTACATTTGTTTTAAATCAAGCAGATTAACATATATTCTTAAAATAATATTATGCATCATCACTACTTGTCATGTTTGATTCTTTATGCCTTTAAAAATACATATACATGTCTTTCAAGCTGGATTGCCTGCAAAAATCTTGCTGATATTTTAAGATTTGCAAGACATGTTGATTTTGCACTTAAGTTTTGTTCATAACTATGATATTATTCATACGTTAGATATTTTGGATAAATATTTTTTAATTGCAATGCAATGCATTTTTCTTTGAATTACTATTTCATTGGTGCAATGATTTTTATATATATCAAAAAAAAATTATTTCTATTATAACACTGTATTCTACTAGTTTATCAATATGAAACCTCTATTTGTTGCTAAAGAAAGTAGAAAACAAATGACAAGGGGTAGCCAACAGTTTAATTTAATGTGAGGATTGACTTATGCAACCTATCTTGGGTTCTGATATCACGTTTGACTCGAGCTATGTATTTGTTGGGGATGTAGATATATTATTCTAATGTTATCATAAGAATTAGACAGTAACATTAAATCAAAATTATGATAATTTATTTCAAGAAATTAAAATAATAACAGAATTCTCTGGCGTTTAGTAATCATGATTGGGACCATTAGAGTTGGAATGAA